ATTTGATGACTAGAAAAATTCATTCTTGTAAAATTGAGGGTGTGTAGCCAGATTCTCACTATTCTTTTCAAAAGTAATCCTCTGTGCTGGAAGGAAGTAGAGCAGGATTTTGTATAACCTCAAAGCCACGTGTTGCCAGGCAAGGACTTCTGACTTACCACAGTGATTTTCAGGAACAAAGACACTAAGATTGCTTTCAACATATATGAACTCAGAATATGTTCTCACTAATTAAGGAGATCTTTTGTTCTTTTGTTTGGATCCAAACTGAGGGTATTTTGTGATGTCTGTTTTATTTTATGGCTCATATAAAAGCTTCCTGAAATTTCTTCTGGACCCATTTGAAAATAAGAGTATACCAAAATTAGCTCCTGATTTCCACTGCTATCTATTATCACCCAAAATAACGTCTCTCCTCAACATTATGGAAAAGGCTCAATACTTGTTTTCTGGTTCCCTGTCCTATCTCCAGCCCACTTTCAGCAGCCACAGAAAAGTAATGTATTATTATGCATGCTGTACTGAGAACACAGGATTGATGACATTATTTAGTCTTGGATACTTATGTAGCCTGCTCCTTGCTCCATGTTCCATGGCCACAGCTGCTAATCCATTATTCCGGTATTTTGTAACTCCAGTGGGCATCTGTCGGCTATTCTCTTGTCTGGGTTGCTCTTGCACAGATAGAATTGGGATTGCTCTCTCACAAAACTAAATTGTTTTTTTCCCAGTCCTATTTTAGAGAGGACATCTACATCACTTTATCTATTCTTCCTGTGCTTTGTATTTTTTAAGAGGCCTTTTAAATTAATGTCTTAAAGTAAGGAAAATATAATTTAGTATTTTCATCTTCTACTTCTTCATTATAACTTCACCCATCTCTCCCCCAGTCCCTTTTAGACTGATGGCCTCTTTTCTTTGGTTGTTATTATTACACACATATGCATAAATATATGCATACAGAATAGTGAATCTGTCTACTGTGACTTATGGGTATATAACTTCAGGACTAAACATTTTGTATTGAATAACTAAATAGGGGACTCATCCTTCCGAAGAGCTAATTCTACTTTCTCATGAGATATATTAATCTTTTGAAATATTTTGAATATGATTTTATTGCTTTCTTTCATGCTTAAATGTAAGCTTCATAATGAAAGAAAGTATGTTCCCTATGTTCATTACTGTATTCTCATACACCAAGCAGTGCTTTATAATAAGATGTAAACTTTCTTAATGTTTCTTGACTTAATCACTGAATTCATAAAAGATTTCAAAAAACAGAAAACAAGGTTCATACTCATCTTTTTGGGTCTGGGTTACCTCACACAGGATAGTGTTTTCTATTTTCATCCATTTGCATGCAAAATTCAAGATATTTCAGTAGAGAAATGATGCGGGATTACTAAACATGTGACAACTCATTCATTGTCATTAAACATGATCACCTGTATAATTCACAAATAAACTGATAAGTGATTTTCATCAAATCCTTAAGAGAGTTAATATTTTAAAATATACGTTAGTAGTAGTATTTGGTAGCAATCACTAATAGGAACAAATTTCCTGTTGAATTTGAATTAGATGATAGCCTGAATATTAATCATACAAGGAACTAATAACAAGAACTCTAGATAAAAGCTATTGGCATATGCAAAACTCAGGGATTTTACATACATACAAGCATACACATATGTGTATTTTTTTAAACAGTTTCTCTGAATAGCTTTGGTACCTGTCCTGAAACTAGCTCTTTTTGACTAGACTCACCTTAAACTTAAAGAGATCCACCTTTCTCTGCCTCCCAAGTTCTGGGAATAAAGGCCTGCACCACCACCACCTGGCTATTTCTCTTAAGATAGTAAACAGTGCTGGGTGTGGTACCACATGTGTTTAATCCCAGGGCTGGGCGTCTGAGGCAGGCTGATCTTTATGAGTTCTAGGCCAGCCTGGTTCTAGGACAGGGCCAGTTCCAGGACAACCAGAAACCCTTGTCTTGAAAAAACAAAGAAAATAAATAGTGTCATAATAAACCAAAAAGTGATGTTTTGAATGAATAATTAAAAAGCTGAGGAGCCCATATAAGTTAAAAATTAGTAAACAACATTAGTGTTACTGCTAAACTAAATTTACTCTCTGGGTCACAGTGAGTAAATACTAACGTATCTATGATAAATGATTAGAAACAAGAAATAAAAACCATCTAGAAAACATGAGAACACCATTTGTCTAAAGGCTGATGCTGTGTTGTCTGAGTGAAAGATAATAACTACAATACTTCAGTATTACTACTTTATGTTTTAAAACTTTAAAAATGTTTAAATTATTTCAGTGTATTGTGTGTGTATGTGTTTGTCTGTGTCTCTTTGCACTATCCTGAGTGAGGTAACCCAGACCCAAAAAGATGAGTATGAACCTTCATCCGGCGATGAATGGAGATAGAGGCAGAGACCCACACTGGAGCACTGGACTGAGCTCCTAAGGTCCAAATGAGGAGCAGAAGGAGGGAGAACATGACCAAGGAAGACAGGACCACGAGGGGTGCACCCACCCACTGAGATGGTGGGGCTGATTTAGTTGGAGCTCACCAAGACCAGCTGGAGTGGGACTGATGGAGCATGTGATCAAATCAGACTCTCTGAATGTGGCTGACAATGAGTGCTCACTGAGAAGCCAAGAACAATGGCACTGGGTTTTGATTCTACTGCATGGACTGGCTTTGTGGGAGCCTAGTCTATGTAGATGCTCACCTTCCTAGACCTGGATGGAGGAGGGAGGACCTTGGATTTCCCATAGGGCAGGGAACCCTGACTGCTCTTTGGACTGGCAAGAGGCTGGGTAGGTAGTTGGGGGAGCGGGAGGGAAATGGGAGGAGGGGAGGAAGTGGAATTTTTAATAAAAAAAAGCTCAAATAAAATAAAATAAAATAAAATAAAATGATTGCCAGCAATTGATCAATTTAAAAAATTAAATAAAAAACAGAAAACAATATATATCATAGATGTAGATCAATAATAAACTGTTACTAAGGAAAATATATTTTGCCTTTTTTATCATAATGAGTTCAGAAGTAAAAACATCACATACCTAAATTAAAGTAGGCATTTAAATACTTTCCCTGTCCCAGACTTGGAGGCTTTTTAAAATTCTGAACTTAATTTCTAAGAATCAAATGACAAGTGCCTAATTAATGCTCCTTTAAATTATGCCATCAGATTATACACTGTGGAAGATATACTTTGAGATTTTTATTGTCAGACAGAGATACAAAGTCTTACAAATGACTTTATACATAACATTGTAACTTTTATCTTGTATCTATTCAAATGTCATGGACCTTGTAGAGATCTACCCTTAATGACAATTTAGCAAGAGGTATGATATTTTAACTCAACCATACAGAGTATGATTTATTGGACTATGTGAATTGCACACAGACCTATTTACTATATATTCTATCAATTATTACCTTCCTAAAAATTTTACATGTGCTGATCTTGAAAATAATCTTTTAATGTACTCAGTTTTCAAATAACTTAAATCAGATAGAACATACAACCTAACTCTGAGCCACCATTTGGGTGTAATTCTGGAAGCCTAAATGCTTTCAGTACAATAATCAAAGTGTACTCTGCCTTATCTGTTGGGTTACTGCCTAGATCTCTTGATGAAAGTGTCTATAATTCTGAACTAAATTTCCACCCAATGAAAGATGGCTTGAGAATTTTAGCCACTTCCTAATCTTACCCAGTGTGATCAAGACTGTTCATATTTCCTCACTGAAATCTTACTGCCAATCAAAAGACTTTTTTGCACCCCCAAGAATCACTATTTAACAATAATGCTTACAAAATAGGAAAATTGAATTATATATGTTTACTCTGTCATCTATAAAATTATATTGAATATCTCTAATTTCATTAATTGGAAAGAAATGAAGAGATTTGTAGCCAATGTATAATAACCATGTAGAAATTCTCAGAATCAGAGTAGACAAATTTAAATAAGTACTTGGGTGGAGAATAAGGAAAATGATTTATAAATGCTTCATTTGACATAGGTGTTTCTCCCATTTAATTACAACCTCCCCATCTTTTATAACAATTTATGCTTGATTTAAAAATCCTATCATCTTTAATACCAAGAAATATTTTTTAATTTACATTATGTGTGTTAACTTTATATCAATTATGGAACTAATGCAATGTTTGATTATAGATCAGTAAACTATGTCTACTATTGGTAACTTAATCATACTTTTGAGTAATTTGCAACATGAAATGGCATTTAGCCTGCAACAGTGTTTTAAAGGATTAAACACTTTCTATTAAATTTAGCATTAGGAATAAAGAAGATGTACAAATCTGTCGTAGGTCACAAAAAAGTAATGTAATTAATTTTAATTATTTAACTATATACAGAAATCTAAAATTATAACCTCAAGTACAAATCCAATTTATTGTCATTTTTCTTGTGATTCTATGGGAGTTTAAGAATCAATTAGTTATCTGGATGGAATTTAAGAATATCTTAATGTTTAAAAGATTTTAATAACTTATGTAGAAAAAACTCCCTTCATTTCTTGATTAGATACTAATTTTAGAACCAACATTGTTCCAATTCAAGTATTTAAATATTTAATATAAAACAATACTTAAAGCAATTGCCTTAAAGCTGGGTGGTGATGTCACATGCCTTTCATCACAGCACTCCAGAGGCAGAGGCACGCAGATCTCTCTGAGTTTAGGGTCAGCCTGGTCCACAGAATGAGTTCCAGGACAGGCTCCAAAGCTACAGAAAAATATTGTCTCAAAAACAAAAACAAAAACAAAACAAAACAAAACAACAACAAACAAAGAAAACCAAAGCACATTTCTGGGGAATTTCCTTGCAGACTTGTATCATTTAGTTAACACTTTGTAGAAGAATGAGTTTATGACTTTATGACTTATGTGTTTGAATTTGTTTGACACTTTCATTTTTGTGTGTGTTTTCTTTAGATAAGAAATGTTGAAACCAATCAATGCTTAGACAACATGGGCCGCAAAGAAAATGAGAAAGTGGGTATATTCAACTGCCATGGCATGGGAGGTAACCAGGTACACAGTCTTTTGTTTTAGCTCCTTATTCAGGTGTATGAGAGAAAGGTTACTGTTAACACAATCAGTGTCTGCCCTGGTTTGCATGCTAATAATAGATGAATGGGCATTCCAATCAACAACTAATTATGCCTATCTCATTGTTCCAGCTTTCTTAAGACAGCAATGCAGAAGTCTACAGAAAAAGTTGAATTAAAATAAATCTACGTTAAATGAAGACAGAATAGTTGAGCATCTCATTTTATCACGAATTATTTAAATGCCTGTGCTTTGATTTGCTATTAACTGAATAAGAAAACAATGATTTTACAACTGCAGCGTTTTCCCAGTGGTGATTGCTCTGTACTTTGTTTTGTTAATTGCTATGTATATAGGAAATCCTAAGAGTTATTACATTTCAATAAAATTTGAATGTGTATGAGTTAGCACTGAAGCAGACTGAAATCTAGGATGAATTTCCTGAGTGGCAGTCAAATTAATTATTAGAAACTTACCAGAGAACAAGGAGGAATCTTACCTTCATCTTGAGCACTGAAAAGTTTCTCTGGGAGAGACATCAGGAGTCTACTTGTTTGTGAGCACCTGTACTGTAGCAGTCCTGATACGTTACCTTAAAAAGCTCACATTTAGTTTTCCTGGAAACTATAATCACAACTCTGAATCTGAAACAGCAAATAGTCAGCAAGCCAGCTGTCTACAGGAGCTGACGGTGACAGGGGCAAGAAGTTCTGTGTCAGTGCTAACATGTGTGGGCAAAGTGAATTGAGGTTGCAACAGCCATTCTGTCCAGCATGTATCCACAGCCATCCAGTTCAGTGATACATGCTGATGTGGCTGCTTTGAATCAAGAACAAAATGAGCGCAGTGGAATGTGGGAGTTTGCTTCACAGAGAGCATGCCTGTTACACTCAAAAATGTGAAACGGAACTTTATCCCTTAAAAACAAAACAAAAACATTAAAATCCTAATTAGTGCATTTCACAGTTTCAGTTCTAGTAAGAAGATATTTAAATTCAAGTTCCTAGTTTATTGCACTTGGAAGATAATATAAAAACAATTTATGAAAAATGGCTATTAAAAACTGTACTAAGACTCCTGTTATTCTACCATCTCTACCTTATAAGCTTAATGACAAAACAGAAATAAAACTAATATAGGTATACTTACATAAGTACTTAGTAAGGTTAATAAACATACATATATACTTATTTCAGAGACTTTTAATCTACAAAGCAATCAACACAAATAACTAAGTGTTTGATGCTTGATTATTTACAAAATAAAGAAAAATTTCAATTTTTCTCATATTAAGTCACATGATTCATAATCCAACTAAGGTAGCATTGTGCATACAGAATGCTCAGTTCATTTTGGCCTGATGAGATTGTTTTAATCATTATTCCGTTATGCTAATTACGTTCTCAAATATCTCCCTTTAACTGTCAAAGTGAAAAACAGTTGACATTACATAACTAATTGGGATCATCCATAAAAATATGGACTTGTTAGTGTTATTGTTCAGGCAGGGCAGATCGTATTCACATATTTAGAAAACATATGTGTGTATATTTATGTATGTTTATGTGTATACATGTAAATAATATACACATATACACAAAAATGCATGTAATAACATTTAAAGAAGGTGGACATGAATTTGAAAAAGCAAGGGGAGATATATGACAGGACTTGGAGGAGAAAACAAAAGGGGAAATTATGTAATTATAATATCAAAAAATAATTTAATAATATGAAAAAATACCATTCAGAGACTTATGCTGAAAGCAAGAGAATTATGCCCATATCCTTTAGTATTACTGTTTCCAGAAATTTCTCTTTTATTCTAAAAACTGAATAGTATAAAAGAGTTAAACCATATGTAAACCTCTATGATGATGATTCTTTTATGATGATGATTTTTGATTTGATGAAATTCAGTATTTCTAAGTTATTTAATAGTGATGTGTTTAAATTTTTCAGTTCCTTACTTTCAGAAAAGAGCATATTTAGGATGTTATTCTGAGTTATCCTTTCTGTTTTTATGTTTTATTCTTTTATGTTGCTATGGAAACAACATCAATTTTTTATAGTTATCTACTTGTGAATTTTTACAAGTAACCTCCAGCCAATAGAGATATTCATATTCTCCATCCATTATACATAAATCATAGCAAACCCCAATATTTTCACTTCTATGGAATTTCCTTAGTGGTTTGTTTTTAAAAGGTCTCCTGTAGCCCAGGCAGGCCTTGAGCTTCTTACATAACTGAGCCTGGCCTTGACATCTTGTTCTTTCTGCCTACATCTCTTTTGTGTTGGTAATTCAGACTTAAGCCACCCTAACCACATCCTCTTAGCTGCATTTCTTAAACAAGTCATTTGTTTGTGGATAGGGATATGTTAGCTACACTACTTTTCTCAAGAATTTTGATGATTGAACTATTTGACACTAATTTTAAGTCATTGTACAAAATATAGGATTGCTTTGATGTTTTTAATTATTTGCACATTAACAATTGTACTTTGCTGTTATTTGTATGCCCACTGTCCTCTCCCACTGCTTACCTATTCTGACTAGCCCCATTCCTACTCCCAACATCTTACTTTTTTTTTTTCAGTTAGACTTGTTTATTCAAGTATCCAAAAACACTCTTTTCACTTCCTCCCCTCCTCCCAATACCCTCCCGCTCCCCCCACTCCCTCTCCTCCTCCCTCACAATTCCCAAGAGCAGTCAGGGTTTCCTGCCCTGTGGGAAATCCAAGTTCCTCCCCCCTCCCTCCAGGTCCAGGAAGGTGAGCATCCAAACAGGCCAGGATCCCAAAAAGTCAGTTCATGCAGACATAACAAGACCCAGTGCCATTGTCAATGGCTTCTCAATCTTCATTTGGACCTTGGGGGCTCAGTCAGCCCCCATGTCAGCCACAAACAGAGAATCCGGTTTGATCACATGCTCGTTCAGTCCCAGTCCAGCTGGCCTTGGTGAGCTCTCATTCGATCAGTCCCCTTGTATCAGTGGGTGAACGCACCCTTAGCGGTCCTGACTTCAAGTGCTCCAATGTGGGTCTCCGTCTCTATCTCCATCCACCCTCTGATGAAGGCCCCCTTTGATTTTGCTTTCCTTGCTCACGATCTCCCTCCCTCTGCTTCTCATTTGGACCTAGGGAGTTAGGTCCAGTGTTCCAATATGTGTCTCTGTCTCTATCTCCATCCATCGCCAGATGAAGGTTCTGTGGTGACATGCAAAATATTCATCATTATGGTTATGGGCCAAGGCCAGTTCAGGCACCCTCTCCTCTGCTGCCCAAAGTACAATCTGGGGACCTCTCCTTGGGCCTGGGAACCCCTCCAGAATCAAGTCTCTTGCAAACCCTAAAATGGCTCCCTTAGTTGAGATATAAACTTCCCTGCTCCCAGAACCATCCTTCCTCCCTCCCCTCCCATTCCCCCAAGCCATCCCCAATCCTCCCCCTCTCCCCTCTCCCTAACCATTTCCCCTTACTTCCACTCCCCCACCCCCGTGCACCCAAGTTTGCCTGGCAATCTTGCCTACTTCCAATATCCAGGAGGATAACTATATGATTTTCTTCAGGTTCACCTTCTTATTTAGAGTCTCTAGGATCGCAAATTACAGACTCAAAGACCTTTAACTATGACTAGAATCCACTTATGAGTGAGTACATACCATATTCCTCTTTTTGGGTCCGGCTTACCTCACTCTGTAAAGCGTTTTCTATTCCCATCCATTTGCATGCAAAATTCAAGATGTCATTGTTTTTTACCGCTGAGTAAAACTCTAATGTGTATATGTTCCACACCTTTTTAAACCATTCTTCTATTGAGGGGCACCTCGGCTGTTTCCAGGTTCTGGCTATTGCAAATAGTGCAGCTATGAATATAGTTGAACAAATACTTTTGTAGTATGATAGGGCATCTCTTGGGTTATTCCCAAGAGTGGAATTGCTGGGTCCTGAGGAAGGTTGACTCCCAGTTTCCTGAGAAACCGCCACACTGATTTCCACAGTGGCTGCACAAGTTTGCATTCCTCTCCCGCATAGGCTATCATTGGTCGTTTTGAGTTTAGCTATTCTGACAGGTGTAAGATGGTATCTCAAAGTTGTTTTGATTTGCATTTTCCTGATCGCTAAGGAGGTTGAGCATGTCCTTAAGTGTCTTCTAGCCATTTGAAGTTCATCTGTTGTGAATTCTCTTTTCAGTTCAGTACCCCATTTTTTAATTGGGTTAATTAGAGTTTTAGTGTCTAGTTTCTTGAGTTCTTTGTATATTTTGGAGATCAGACCTTTGCCTGATGAGGGGTTGGTGAAGATCTTCTCCCAGTCCGAAGGTAGCCTTTTTGTCTTACTGACAGTGTCCTTTGCTTTACAGAAGCTTCTCAGTTTCAGTAGGTCCCATTTATTCGTTTATCTTATTGTCTGTGCTACTGGGGATCTACTTAGGAAGTGGCCTCCTGAGCCTATATCTTTTAGACTACTTCCCACTTTCTCTTCTATCAGGTTCAAAGTGGACAGATTAATGTTGATGTCTTTAATCCATTTGGACTTGAGTTTTGTGCATGGTGATAGATATGGATCTACCTTCATTCTTCTACAGGTTGACATCCAATTATGCCAGCCCCATTTGTTAAAGATGCTTTCCTTCTTCCATTGTATACCTTTAGCTCCCTTGTCGAAAATTAGGTGTTCATAGGTTTGTGGGTTAATATCCGGGTTTTCTATTCGATTCCATAGGTCGACTTCTCTGTTTTTATGCCAATACCAAGCTGTTTTCAATACTGTAGCTCTGTAATAGAGTTTGAAGTCAGGGATGGTAATGCCTCAAGAAGTTCCTTTATTGTATAAGATTGTTTTGGCTATCCTGGTTATTTTGTTTTTCCATATAAACTTGATTATTGTTCTCTCAAGGTCTGTGAAGAAGTTTGATGGGATTTTGATGGGGATTGCATTGAATCTATAGATTGCTTTTCGTACAATTGCCATTTTTA